GGGGCCAAAATAATTACCTATACTATTTTGGGGGTTCCTTATCATACTTCTAGTATAATGGGCCCGAAAACCCTATTCTAACTGTTAAGGCCCCTATATTATTGTAAAAAACCAACAAATCCTAATAAGCCTTTATAAAAAACTCTAAACCATATAGTGTTTAGGGTTTAGGCATCCTGTATCTGCGACTGAGGTCGAGCCGCTGGGGAGGAGCTGGGACTCTCAGGGCAGTCTGAGCGCTTAGTTCATGAGAGCTCGAGGTTCTCAGGGGTCTGTTCTTGGCGACTAGCAGACAACCCGAAACCCCAAGCCCCAAACCCCCTGGCGTTTCTCCAGATTTCTGGCTTCCGACTTTTTCCTGCTGTTTTTTTCTTGGTCTCTGTTCAGGCCTCGGGTTGCTCTTGGGGGATTGACGCACAAAGGGTTTAGGGTTTAGGGTTTAGGGTTTAGGGTTTAGGGTTTAGGGTTTAGGGTTTAGGGGAACAGGAGGGCCTTGGTTGCTGTCTGCGGCTGAGGTGCCGCCTCCGATGCAGGGGACTGCGCCCTCCGAGCGGCCCGGCTGCAGCTTGGGCCCGGCAAGGGCGCAAAGGACGGTAGTTCTCTAAATTAGGGTGCTTTCTTAGGTCCCCCATATATAGTACGGCACCCTCATAAAAGGGACCCTAAAAGGGACCCTAATTTAGAGAAGAACCCATGTGCTGCTTCTGGAGTTGTACTCTGTTGTACTGCTCCTTCAGGTCGAGATCCTCAGCAGCAGCCTTCTGCACGCGGAGATGTGGAGGAGTTCTGCATCATCCTTTGGGGCTGTGGGCCGTGGGCTCGGGGGATGCCGCGCCAGTTGGACCGTCTCGTCACCCGAACACAGAGGGCCTAAACGATCGAAGCTCTGGTAGGGTGTTGCATACCCGAGCAGGTTTTCTCGTGTTTCGGAATGTGGTATCGCAGTACGTGTCATAGCAAGAACATCAACTCGTATCCTGTCACAATGAATTAATATGAAGGGATAGTTGCGTTTTGTCGATTGTGCTACCGTGCTGCGCACATGCGGCTCAGTCGCGCGCCTTCATGTACAGTGAGTTGTTTCTACTTGGTTGCCGGAGCAGATGCTACTGTAGCTAGACTTCCCTTCTTTATAGTATACACGCTACCTGCCAGTACTATGGCCGGCAGCGCACCGGTGTAGACTCTCAACTTGTACAATATGTCCGCACTGTAGTTTACCGTCTTCAGTATTGTATCGTGCTATGCCTTAATCTACGTGCTTAGATATGTCCCCAGACACTCCAGGGTTCTTGTGGTCAGTCCTGCGAATTTTCGATTAGAGCCACTTGTAAAATCCACTACTTTGGTGCTCGCGAAGTTCATGAATCACGATTCCGCCGAAGTGCCATGCATGCTTTGGGGGAACATTTTTGGCATGCAAATCGCTGAAAGTCGCTGAAGGCCTGCAGGTTGCTGTTCGTCGTGCTATGTATGGCTGCTGTCCCCACTGCTGGTGCTAGTTTTATTTAGAGTACTGTTGCTGTTGTCAGATTTGTTGATTATATACTAGCAGTATGATTTTCATAATAAGAAACCTTGCTACTGTTAAGACCTTCTATTTCTCAATTTCGTGACTAAGCTTTGTACTGGCTCTCTCTCTCTCTCTGTCTCTCTCTCTCTCTCTCGCTATCGATCATGAAATCAATACACATGCTTCTTGTCGTTGCTTCAGCGAGTATTCTCATTGCTATCGCCGGAAACCTGAATCTTATTATAGTCTTAGGTGCAGCTTGCCTCCTCATCTGGTGGTACAGCGCCTTCGTCTATGCCGCGGTGCCCTCAGCAGCGATGCTGTGTTTGGCCAAGCTTTTCCTTCCCCCTTCCCTTCCTCCTCACCCGTGCCCTGAGGTTGCAGGCCTACCGCTGATGTTATATTCGCTCCAGTCTCTCCAGCGAGCACAGCATGTCACATTTAAAGTGCCCTGGCCTGCATCCCGGTCTTCTCCGCTCCATCGGGTTTTGCCTTGAGAAGACGCGACTTTGAGACTGGGGTTCAATGGTCTAAGGCTAAGGTCCTCCTCAAAGGATCAGAAGTGGTGCCGACAGCCGTTTCATCCAATCTCAGGCTGAGCAGCTGGTGAGAGCTGAGCGCGGTTCGCGTGAAGCCGCTTGGCGGCCCTCTGCGGCCACAGCAGCCCAAACATCTATCGTCCAACTTAACTCCGATTACTTTCTAGGCTGCAGGCTCTGAGAAATGATCATGGCAGATGGACCCTTCAGCTATGAAGCCTATGAAGCCTCACTTCCACCATCCCCTCCCACCTAGTGCCAGGCCGTGGCCCCAAGCTCCAATCACCAAGCCGAATCTAGCCCAACGAACTCTCTCGCCAGCTCAAAGCCCGAACGCCCGAGAAGTCGTGAGTCTGTGATGATGCTACGTGTGCCCGCACTTCCTAGATTTCTCTTCCACCAGAGTGCCGGGGCTCCCTCTGCAGTGCCTCAAGCCTCTGGAGGGTTCCAAACGCGTTGCAGGAGCATGCGACTGGCCCTTCGTTGTGGTCCTGTAACCACTTCCCTTCGTACGAGACTCTCAGTTTTCGCGATGTTCGACATCGTGCTCTGGGGACACTGCTGTTCGTGCTGTCGCGTGTTTTGGTTTGGACATGCTTGGCCCAGCCTCGTCGTGCTCATGCCACATGCTTTACATATCCGCCTCCAGAAGTCGTGCTCCGTGCTTCTGCTTGGTGCCTTTCCTCTTCTTCGTGTGTACTAGGTGAAAAAGCTGGTCCTTTATGGATTGGGATCGATGATGGCATGCTTGTCGTTAGGTCTAGGGCTCTTTTGTGAACTGGCGTGTTCTTACTAGTGACCGTGTAGCTTGGCATGCGGATCTCCAGCCGTGTCCACTGTACTATCACTATCGTCCTGGCAGTGTGTGAGGCAAGCAACCCAAGAGCCACAACCCTTGAACTTCGAGAGTCCGTGTGTGACAGTCCAAGCTCATGGACAGCAGGCTCAAGCCTTGAAACCTCGAAGGACTAAACCCCTAAACTCTCGTAGAGCCAGAAGCTGTAGAAGTCTCATACTGTCATACTCTTCCTTTGGAATCCAGGTCCCGAGCCCCGCACGGTGCCCTTCTAACAACGGCGCCGTGCGGGAGGCAGCCCCACGGTGGTCCGGCACCTGGATTCTGGACCCTTGGGTCAGCATTCAAGGTCCCTTGAGGCGCTATCTCAGGGTTCTTCACGCTAAGGGCTCCTATTCTCCACGTCTTAATTGGAGTTAGGGGATCGTGGGGGCTTTGGATGCAGGGGTTTAGTTTGCAGCAAGATGAGGATGCCGGCAGGGCTCGCAAGTCATGGTGACTATGTAGCAGAAGATGATAATGGTCAGTTAATCATCACTATTTAATGGTGATGAGGATACCCTTGAAAAAGATGATGGGGCTTGCGGATCAAGGGGTCGGTGTTGGATGGTTGTCAGCTGTGTCTGAATGTGGGCGTTGACCCGTGGAAGAGATTCTTTACGAAGTTACTAGGAGAGCAAACGGGTGCGGTGATGGTCCTGGAATTACGTGTGGCTGACTGGAGGCTCGATTAAGCTTTAATATCCTTTGCTTAGCTATGTCTGTCTGAAGCGAAATGGAGACTGGTTTTGGCAAACGGGGAGGGTGATACATTACGTGCCTCATCCGGCCGTAGAGTGTGTAAGTAGCAAGGGACAGACAGGCAACGTGTAAAGTTGATGAATGCAATGCCGACGAAAGAAGCTTTGGCAGTGCCTCATCGCCCAAACCCTCGCTTCAGCAACAATTCTTTGCCGTTCTTCGGCTGGGCCCCCGGCTGGGCTGTCGCATTGTCGACTCACTACGTTGTCGCTGTGGGGTCGCCGGCAATCTGCGGCCCGAATGGAATACCCGACGCACGAGGAGTCTTGAGCCTGGCTGGGCAGGGGATCTGGTCGTGCGCCGGGCATTGAAGACGAGGTCAGCCCGAAAGGGAAAGGTCTTGGGCAGCCGATCGACATGTCCAGCAGACCTGGTTGGGCCAGGGCTCATGTAGTTGCCGCAGGTTCTGGTGGTGTCTCAGAATAAAGCTTCCTTGGCTGTATGCCACCGTCCGAGCGCCCGAGTTCGTGGGAAGCCCAGGCCAGTGCCAAGTCCCTGTTCAACGGGTTTCGAGAACTTCAGATGACTGGAGACATCGGATCGGCCAATTCGTTGGCGGATCCGATGTCCCAATTCTGCTGAAGTGAACTCAGGTGAGGAGGATGTCTTCGTGTACTCGCCCCATCCCGACAGCTGCGCCATCATGCTGTCGCCCTATGGCCAGTGGGATGACGTGCTGGATGCCACGCAATCGGGCCTCCACACCTCTGCAATGCTAGATGCTGGCCACAGAGCCGAGCTCCCTCTTGCAGCAGAGCATGCCAAAGTAGGCAATCGCGATCGATCCGCGAGAGTGCGACGGCAAGAGGGATCAGGACCTTGAAAATTCCGGCAGGCTCGAGAAATTGATAATCCTCTAATGCACGCTTTATTGTTGCCGCTGAAGTCCTCTGGTTTTCCTGCAGCATCGCCTGACCTTGTGGAGTGCGAGCACGAAACCTTGGAACTCGTTGCGGGTTGAGCACACCGAGCTTGTGTGTCGGAGTTGAGTTGTGGTGGGATCATGAGACATAGGCGTTGGAGTCCGCTCGTTCTGTAGACACTATGAAGTTCACAGTGCCGGAAATCCGAAGATGGGTTGCCGAAGCAAGCTTCCGCAAGCCCAGAATGCCAACATCCCAAGGACAAGAGTTGCAGCGAGAAGTACGAGCCAATCCTCAAGGACCCAGTTCGATTTGTGGTTGCATCCATCGCCTGGTGCTTTTGGCTGGGCGCAGGACGTAGAGCACAGCTGTCTCGCTTCTGACACTCATCGCGTTGTGATGAGACTTTAGTATGGCTTGCGGGATTGAAGCAGGAATCACAGTCTATGTCGTGGCTTGGGCCTAGCTTCCCTGTGCGAATGGAGGACATGGGGGTGAACTACTTGATTCGAAAGGCAGCAGACGCGAAGACGCGCCTCGGGCAAACTATGAAAACCGATGCGCACCGGGTTTTTCGTCGCCTCGGATGTAAGGTCCGTGCTCGTCATTAGCAAGTCGGCCACCCATGTCAACTTTGTGGTCAAGAACCTCGTGACCGTGGAGGATCTCCTGCCGGTAGATGGTGCCTGGGTGCCTAAGCCCGTGCCTCCGGCTGGTCGGATGCGCGGCGAGATGTGCCTTGGCTTTGGCTCTGCGACTCGCTGTGCTTTCAGAGAAGAAGAGCAGAATGGATCGGGAGCTTTTATTCAGGCGCCTGCGCCTGACCAAGTCCACCGAGAACGAGCTGGACTTTCCTTGAGGGTTTAGGGTTCAGGGGTTAGGGTTGACCCATGACCCTTTTACTTTCGGCTCAGCTTGGTGGCGTGCGTTGCAGGAGATGGTCACCGAATTTCCTCCCGGTGAAGGTGGTCTCTGTGACACGCCATTGGCCTCGGCTTCGTAGCCTGTTCGTATGCATGTATCAAGAAACACTGTACCCGAAAAGAGTGCATGCCATGGCAGCAATATCTGACTGCAGAACGATGGCAAGGTTGGTTGTGGATGATGACGGGAACTCCTTCTCCAGAAGGGTGGTGCGTAAGCGAAGTGATGGGACGCAATTGGAGTGTACTCGTGTGTTCCGACGCATGTCCTGAACCCTGCTACATGCCTTCAACACCATTTGAGAAACTAAGCTTTTCAATAGGATCCCCTAAACCCTACGCCTTCTGTAGCTACTGTCAAGAAGGACAGATCGTACAGTGGGTCTGACCACCGGAAAATCCAGAACGACAACAATAAGATAAATATGACATTTTTCTGATATATATATATAATATAATAATATGATTATATAATTTTATATTTATATTTAAGAGCCTCCGGCTCAGGCCGCCGACCCCGTGGGCGACAGACCAGAAGCCGAATCCCTGAACCACCCCCAAGACCTAAGCTGATTGTTCATGCGCAAGCCTTGAGCGTCAGCGCGTGGAAGCACGGAAGCCCATGCGGCGTCTCGGAGGTCTGGGTTAAGGGGAGGGGTTCAGGAGCACTTGGGCCATGAGAGTGCGAGGGTTCAAGCCAGAAGGTTGCGGGTTTGGGGGGCTCGGAGGTCT